AGGTAATTAAGAAAAAGCAAAGTATATTATTTTTTTCAGGAGTTTACTGTTCTGTTTATTCATGATTTGGGTAATCAATCTTTCCCCCAACTCAAATTACTTATCATGCAGCTCTTCCTCAGGACATCTGCTTTCATTTGATATTAGCACTCTGGGCCCCTCACAGGGAGTTGGTGCTTTAATCAGCGAAGCTCCTTTAAGTGGGCATGGAAGAGGAAGGCCTAACAAATGTATTGGGTCCAGGGTTCTGCGGCCGTTGCTATGACATTGATTTTGTCTACTCTTTAACTCCCTCAAAGCACTTCCAAAGACATGCGATGGAGTCCTTATTCTATCCCTGTCAATTATTTGCTATTTTCCCATTTCGGAAGAGAAAAAAGTCCAGCTCAGAAATATTGAAGAGTGAGTAGCTGTCAGAGTCTGCTCTTGGTTTTATCACAGCTTTGGGATGGGGTGTTTGCAGGATTCCCGAGCAGAGTCTCATAGGCTGAGGTAGGCACTGACAGATACGTGGCTCTTTCATGTGTCTTATTTGTCCTACTGTGCGTTGCTGCCCTACTGACCGTCATCCGGGCCTACTCTAGGAAGCATGTGGTTTGGGGTGGGAGAATACCAAGCCAGTCTGCTTCCCTGGAAGGCAGCCGTTCTATGACTCACGGGCAGCTTTACATATGACGACCCCATTTTGAATTTGGGCGCTTCTCCTTTTTTGGTTCAAAGTCAAGAGTCATGAACACATGATCACAATACAATAATGAGATAACATAGTCAGGGCTGACGGTCAGTGTATTTCCATCTCTTGCTTGGTCAAGGAAGGAGGTCACAGAGGTTGAAAGAGGCTAAGAGACTTGCCCAAAGTCACACTCTGGTTGGTGGTGGAGTTGAACTTGAACCCATACAGTCTGATTCCAGAGCCCCAGCTCCTGACTATGGTATTCTATGTGACAAAGTGCTCTCGTGTGGCTAGGAATGGAAAAACAGATCATTTGATGGACATTCTTTCTGTTATCAATTGGACAACTCCTCCCCCGGAGTCCTCACTGGGCCTGGCGCCCTGCCTTGTAATAGTGACAGAGCTTCGGAAAAGACAGACTCAGCGTTAGCCTCAGGGGGGTTATCCGCTGCTGGCGAGTGAGAATCTAGTGTTGTGTGCTAAATAGAATGATGATTGGGATATGTACAGCGGAGCATGATGATTGATATGATTAATTTGTATTATGTATTAAGAGCCTATCCCATTTCACTCATTCACAGATTTATTGAATTGAGAATAGGAGCACAGAAAACAAGTAAGGGCATTTTTTTTCTGGCAGAACACTTCCCACTTAAAGCTCACCTCATTTTCCTCTTTTGTAAGGATAAAGAAAAAGTAGGATTGCTACATTGAAATTTGATGTAAAACATTTCAACCCGAAAGGGCTTTAACGGTTCCTGGAACCTCGAAAGCCCACTTATGAACTTCTCCTTTGGGGGGCAGGACTCAGACCAACAATTGTATCTTTGCTTCCTCTGGGGAAAAAAAAGGCAAAAGCAGCATGTTTCTTTAAAGAGGCACAATGGAAAAGCACTGCGACTTCTTTATAATGATGTATCAATAGTTGCAATGCCCCCCACTGCCCCATCCCCCTCCACGCCAGCTTTTGTGTGAGTTCAGGCAACCTATAGGCAGAAGGCAATTCCATTTATTATTGAAGGGACTCTCAAGGCAGTTGTTTCAGACCTGTGAAGCCAGCAGGCAGAGCTGGACGGGAGGGGGTGGGAGCCAGGGGAGAGGGAGGTGGGGAAGGGCCACATTATGTTCCAGATGACTAAGCAACGATTTATATACCAGCTCGCCTTTTTACATGAAGAAGAAAAGTAATAACAGCCCAAACCCCGGGCG